CAGGTGTTGAAAAGTGTTGGTGCAAGGACACAGCCATGCCTCACCCCTAAATTAACAGGGAAGAAGTTCGAGGAGAACTTAAAGTTCAATTTTCTCAATCCTTGGTAGGCAGATCAAAGGTCATTTACCAAGAAATGGCCTTCAGCCTCAGCAAGGTTCCTGATGAACTGTTCCTTGTCCCTTCTCAGCAGTGTCCGAGCCCTGAGTACCATTCAGCCGAGCCATGCGGCACACATCAGTGGCCTCCAATGTCTCCAGTAAGATGAAATTCTACCTTGCCCTCTGGTGTTCACCAATGGACTCCTGTGCTGCTTCGAGTATTCCCATGGAGCAACTGGGTTGGAGTGCTGATACCAGGAGCCAGAAATTCTCAATCTCTGGGACTGGCAAAGTTCCGGAGAAGGAGGCTGTTCTCGATGCTGGGATCAGCTTCCGAACTATGGGGACCGACAGACAGACTCATTCACTTCTGGATACTGCACTGAAGTCGCCCAGAACAATGCAAATGTCTCGCAGGGGACAGCTGTCTGCCACAAATGTGAGTTTAGCATAGAACATTTCTTTTTTGAGTTTGCTAATATGCTAATATGCTCATCAGCCGGTGTTAGCTCTACTATCAAGGGTTGAAGTTGGCTGGAGAAGGCGATGGCTACTCCCTGGGAATGATGACCATTGCCACGGCCCGACCAACAGTAGGTGTACCCGTACTAAGTGTGCCACTACCAAGTCTTCTCTCTAGAGGGCAGCTACCTCAACTCCTAAGTGCTTCATTTCTCTCAATAGCAGGGATAACCGCTAATCCTGCTGCAAGAACCGGATGTTACAATTGCCCATCAAGATAGCTTGCTTGAGGTTAAGCTTTGGATAGTCATTTCAGGTGGATGCCACCTCTGCCTCCCCCACCGACACTGCCCCAAATAAAAGGAGTTGGCAGGCTGTGAAGCCCAATGTCCTATGGGTTCTCTTGGGCTTTGCCCTATGAGCCTTATACTGGGTTGGCATCTGCCAGGGCAGGACGAGTAACTCTCCCTCCCATCCTGCGCCCCAACATTTGCCCTTCCAACGGGACCCACAGCCTGCCTTGCTTACTAGGTGGGAGGGACAGAACCCCCCCCCCCCTCCTCCGAGATCCGATTCCATAGGTGGCTACGAGGAGGCACTGCAGAAATCTCGATGACAGAGAGGCTGTGAACTGGCAGGGGAGGCTTATACAGAGCTGCTCCCTTTTTTGCACTGGGCAACTGCAAGCTAGAAAGCATGCAAGCGCTCAACACTATCTAGGCTACCACACCATCGCTTCACATCACCCACCCATATATATATATATATATATATATATATATATATATATATATATATACACATATATACATATATTTATATATACATACACATATACATATACATACATATGTGTACATAAGTAGAAAAGGTATGAATAAGAATGAATATATTCACAATACAAGAGATGTAAAATATATTTCTTGTATTGTGAAGACATTCATTCTCATTCATACCTTTGCTACATTTGTCAACATGAACACAGTTCATGTGTACACATATATATGTATATATGTATATACACATATATGTATATACACATACACATAAATATGCATAATATTATAAATAGATAGATAGATAGATAGATAAATAGATAGATAGATAGATAGATAGATAGCAAGATAGATAGACAGATACACACATAAATATGTATGTATATATATAATGTATATATGTATAATATATATATATATATATATATATATATATATATATATATATGTATGTATAAATCATATATGTATATACATAAGTAAGCCTATATTTATATGTATACATAAGTATACACACACAGATGCATTCATATTTATATGTATATATATGTAAATGTATATATATATGTATATATATTTATATACATAAGTATATATATATATACTTACATATATATCTATATGTATCTATCAATGTATCTATTTATATATATATATATATATATATATATATATATATATATGTATATATATATATACATATATATATATATATATATATATATATATATATATATATATATATATACATAAGTATATATATATATATATATATATATATATATATATATATATATACTTACATATATATCTATATGTATCTATCAATGTATCTATATATATATATATATATATATACATATATATAAATATATATATATATATATATATATATATATATATATATATATATATATATATATATATATATATATATATATATATATATATATATATATATATATATATATATATATATATATATATATATATATATATATATACGTTGTTTGTATTGTTTTCCTCTCCTTTGATCCATCCATAACAAGACGATCTTCCGTTGCCGACTAGCGAAGGGAGATCTCTCGCTGCTGATTGGCTGTCGGGCGCACCTCGCGTTCTGATTGGCCCGCTCGCCGCGTCCGCCGATCAGCTGAGCCAGTGCCGGGCCGACGCCGAGGGAGGAAGGTGCTGCGCCGCTCGCTCTGCCTCGACACACCTGTTTTCAGGTAAATGGCCATTAGTGGGCGGTTTAAGGAGGGTATGTCATGGTATTTTGGGCAAGTTGTCGAGCCTGACCACTTGCGTTGGCGGAAGTAGTTGAGTTTAGGCTTTTTCTTTTCTTTTCTTTTTCTCTCCCGTTATTGGGCGTTTTTTATGGGTATCTTGAAGTTCACTTTTTTTTTTTTTTTACTGTGTTTTTGTCTTGATTTTGTGGTTTTCAAGGTTATTTGGCGGTCATTTAGACAGCCCGGATGCTATTCAACCCTCTCTTTATTCTACTTAAAAAAAAAAATAATGCATAATTTTTTTGATTGTCTCCGTCTCGTCGTATCATCATGACGGGAATATTTCATGACAGGAGCATGACGCCTTCCAGTCATATCGGAGGCAAAGTATCTCAAGATATCATGTCACGCCGAAAGTCAAGTATCATGTCATAAGTAAAGTATAAGTAAAGAAGACACATGTAAAGTATCACAAGAAGTCGTATCCTGTTGCCATTCTCGGGAGTCATGTCCTGTTGCCATTCGGGTGTCATGTCACGTCACATCACCGTAATTAAAAGTGATTGCAAATGACAGAATTAAGCATACACATTTATAGAAATATTCAGGAAGTTCTGGCAGCAGAAGGAATTCCTCAGAGGAAGTGAAAGGGAATTCGGTGCTCGAGGGATGGCTGCTTTTATTTATTTTTTTTTTATTTGTGGGGAGGAAAAAAAAGTTGTCTTGTTGTGAATTGTGGTCGTTTTGTGTTGATCTGTAATAAATTTGCATGTTGCTTGAGGTGTGGGGATGAAAGTCACTCGTCTGCGTCAGTTTTGCTTTTTGAAAGTTAAGATGTGATTTGCATTCCTTGAAGTGGATGTGAATTTTAGATCATTTTTTTTTTTTTTTTACTTGTAATGTGCCTTGTGGGGGTGAAATGAAAATCTAGTTGAGGTAGAGCAGAATTTGCACTATTTCTAATCTTTGTATCTATGGTGGATCCTCTGAAAATACGAATTAGTCAGATGATCTTGGTTGGCGTCGTGTTGACAAAAAAAAACAAAAAAAAACTACCTGCCCTAATCCTCATTTGTAATGTATTAATGATGTTAAAATATATTCCTTGATTAGTGCATGAAATATGATAGCTTGGTTCACAAAAAAAAAAAAAAAATTACAAATAGTGGCAAGCAATATGCAATGTATATATATATGTAGTATATTGTCACATCTCTGTATGAGAGAGTGATGCTGACTTCCTCTGTTTAAGCTTCTAATAGTGAAACACTGTGGGAGTTATTGATACGCTCGCCAGTTAAACCAGATTGTGTTTTTCTGAGCACTAGGAACCGAATGAAAGAATCCTCGGGGTTTCAGGGCAAGTGCTGTGTATTCCTTTTCTCTCATCCAACTTTCTCTGTGTTTTTTTGGGTGTGGAAAGTTCCCACCGACAGTCACTCCCGTTGCTTTTTGCAAGCGTTATGGAATGGAGAGTCATCTTGCATCACAAAAAAATGTTTGACTTGATTTACTAGTGATATACCCCCTGCCCCCCCCTCCTACCTGCCTCCCTTATTTATCAGTCTAAATGATGGTTATTTGTGAGTTTTGAGGATTTGTTTGCATTTGCATAGTGGATCTTGCTAAATCAGTAAATTAATTATGATTCTGGTATTGATGGATTATGGAAGTTTGTCTTATTGTCAAGGAAATATCTGGAAGTATCTGGTTAAATCTGCTTATGATATTGACTAGTTCATTCAGAGGAAGTAAATAAAGTGCTTATAATCTTGCTTCTTTCAGTCGACTATTAATGTATAAGGCGTGTTTACTTTGCACAGCATGCATGGAATTATATTTATATTATGCCAAAGTCATCAGACATCCTCTTTGTATAAGTTCCATTTGTAGTTGTATATGTACCTAAGCTGCCTTTTCAAATAAAGTAAATTGGGTATAAAAGGCTATACTTTTTGAGCTGAGAACTAGAATGTTATTGTAATTGATGATTCTCATATGTAAAGTGAAGAATAAATATCAGGAGGCACCCACAGTGGCTTTGAAACAGAACTCTTTTTTTCTCATAACCATACTGGCTGTCCAGTTCCTTTTGGCTGTAAGCTGCTTGTCTTCAGCATATGCATGGCACAAAATGTGTGAAGATTGCCATGGCCTCCATACTCCAGCAAGGGCTAACAAAGTTTAACTGTCTGAGGATGGACTGGGTCCTAGGTTGGTGATGAATAACCAGTGAGGTATATAAGCTCTTCATTACAAGACTTTATACTGAGTGAGATTGCTGGCCTTTACTGGAGTGCTGAGAGGTATGATTGATGTGAGAATGCATATTTAGATGTCTCCTTCATAATTATCATCAAGAAGTTATGTATTGAAGTGCAATTTAGGAATTTTGAAATAGAAGTATTTGACTACATCTATGACTGAAAACTGAAAATATGAGTCAATTCATGCAGCTATCATTTCATATCAACAATATAATTCACTACTTATTACTATGATTCATAGTTGAATAAGATTGTTCTTGGAAACTAACTTTCCCAACAGCAAAGGAAGGCTTGAAGAAGTTGAGAATATCATGAAGAAAGTAAAATGAAGTGTTGATACAAAAGCCATAGTCTCCCCTGCATCTCCATTTTCCTTGGTGTTTTGACATTTAGGTGTGGGCATGAGTGTTAAATTGAACTAATCAAAATAGCTGCACTTTGATATTGACCTTCACATACTCTGCGGTGGGGAATGCTTGATTGTAGTTTTGATAGTGATGGGGAAATTATTGAAATAGCTTATCGACACAGGTTTATATTTTGTATAGGAAATGCAGATGTAAAAAAAAAACATTATTATTAGCTTTTACTTTGGAACTAATTTATTTTCTTCTTCAGTAAGGTTCCTTATTTTTACCTCCAATTTTACGTTGATCTTTAAATATGATTGATATATTTACAATTCATTAACATTGCCTTCTTTATATCACAAGAGGCAGGCTATATATTGAATTTTGAATGCTCAGAGGAATTTATGTGGCAAGATTTGATATTTATAAATGCCTGGTATTTAAATGTTTACTTTGTTCATCTTGTTCCTTTAGGTGAAAGAGAATTAAACTTTATTCCAGATATCTGTGTTATTTATGATGGTTATACAGGCCCTCCATTTTCATCTTCCTTGAAGTTTAAAATATTCAGTAAGAGAAATATATAGATTAATAAGGAATTTACAAATGTCACATCCAGCAGGACAGTTTTGTTCACCTCATAGTTTAACTTTTACCATTTTACTGCTGATGTTAAGGTGACTACCAATACCATAGTTTGGTAAAGCCAGTCCACTTGACTCTCAGCAAGTGGAGTTGGCTTATCAGAGGCTGAATCTGTCTGCTACAAGTCTGTCTGATTGGAATGGGAGAGAGGGATGAATGATAAGCTATTATTAGAACTTTGGGATATTAGGTGGTAGGTTATAATACATAGACATTCATCATGTGTACTTCCATATTTTGTATTTGTAAAAAAGATAGGGAAGATATGCAACCCATCAGGTAATTACTTTGACTCATGTTTTCTATACTGATTAGGCACCTGTAAGATAATGCATAAGCCCTCAGTTAAGAAACCAGAACCTTGGGAATAACTAAACCATCCTGTAGTTGTCCAAAGAGGGATCTTCATAGTGCGCTGTCATTTCATCCATTCTCTATGATGCAACACTGACAATCTGTGCCACTTGTGTTCCTCAAGCGAATCGGCTGATAAGATTGGGGATCTCAGAGTGAAGAGGCTTCCAAGTATCATTGATTTAGTAACGTTTGTGAATGAGTGGCGGAGGCTAGTGATTACATGCGTGGAGGTGTAGTGCATGGAAACGTGTGTTTTTTTGCTTTGAGGTTAATTTGTTGATGTTATTGAAATCCAGTTCTAGTTCTATATGTGGTGTTGAGTGTTTGCTGTTCATTTTATCTTGATGAGAGCATCATGTTGATGAGATGGGACTGAAGAAAGGAGAAATCAGATTTCTAGTTGCTTTTCATAATCACAATTGAATCTTAACATTTTACAAGTTTTATTGAAATATTGCCTAGTAATGAATGCTTCTTATGCCTCCTTATATATATTCCTTTTCATTATGTAACCACAGGTATTTTTATTGGCAGGACACCGGCACAAATAACCGACAACAACCATGGTTATCCTGAGTAAATTGTCGACAATCGCTCAGTCTCGAGATGCCCGTTTCTTCGGCGCTGCTTCTTCGACAGCCTTCCTGTACTGGCTCTACAGCACCTCAAAATCGGGGGGGAAGAGGTTAGTGCTCTGTTTTCTTCTCTTTATTTCTATTATTATTGTGGGGGGAAGGGTGTAGTCTAACTCATGTATTTATCCCAGATTATTATTGGGATGAATTAGTTTTCTCTCTTGTAGGTATGAATGAAAGTGGGATATTCTATTCTATTTCATTCTATTTCTCCATTTAAGATATGCCCTTTTTTCAAAATGAATCCATTATTTCAGGGCCGCAGGTGACATCTCTGCTAATACTGACAATGACATTCAACATAGGCATGAATTTTTTAAAGTATTTTATTGCTTGGAGAGTGAAGTGATTTGATCCCTCCATGTTATCTGTATCCTATGCTTATTTTCCTTAAACTTGTATTTCTGTCCATGTATTATATTTGTACCCATTTATAGCTGATGCTTCTTTTTCACGACAAAAGTAGGGGGAGGAACAGATCAGGGCCCTCGAAAATGGAGATAGAGTCTCCTTACCATCTGCTGCTCTGCATTGTTGAGCATTATTGCTATTGCTATTCTCTTAAAGGACTTTCTGATTTTGCATATAATTTGTTTAGACAGAAAAGTATGTCTTTTGTACTTTCTGATTTTGCATATATTTTGTTGAGACAGAAAAGTATGTCTTTTGTAATTAGTGATTTTTTTTAGCAATTTCATTTTATGTGTCATTGAAGAAAATAAGTTGGAGTTTCATTTCAAAACTGAGTAGTCTTAATAATCTGAAGTTTGTTTTGTGAGTGTGATCAAGGGCATAACTAGAATAAGCAGCCGGCAGATTCTGTGGGTTGCAGTTTGTGTTTACTGATAATCATGCATGACTTGTTGTTACTCTTGTTATTTTGATATATATTCTTTTTAGTTTTGACTGATGCATGATCTGTTTCTTTTCAATTGAAAATGTGTTTTTAGTGATTATTTATCTTTAAAATTTTCTTCCTGTTCATCTGACAGTGTGGTGGGATCACTTAAAATATAGAATGTAGTTTGATTGTGAAGAGATATATTTTCTGAGACTTTGGCTTTGACTTATTATGAAGTCGGGATGTGTGTTTGACAGTTCAAATAGACTGTAATTCTTGGTCGGTTGGTTTCTGTTTTAGTCTATTGGTTTTGTATCCAAGTAACTTATCTTTGTTAAATGCGGTGATTGGTATTTCCAGGTCCCTGCACAAAGATGAAGTGAAGTTTGTTGTCAATGATTCTGGCGGAGCGAGCGACAGGAAGAAAGTTCAGGTACGTAGAAACAGGGAAAAAGGGGATAGCACTATGTATGGTAGAAATAAGTACCGAATCATATTCTTTACTTAATTGGGGAAATTGTTAAGGAGGAATTAGCTAGGACAAAGATGATGGAAATATATGAAGGCGAGAGGATGATATGACGAGATGAATTACCTTTGTAGAGATCACAGTGTGTCCAGTGAAGCTTTTTGTGCTTTTTTTTTAATCTGTGGCACATCTTCATAATGCTAAGAATTTTAATAGCTGCCATCTGACATCTAAAGGGAAGGCAGTTAACCCATCACTGGCCAGAGCACTGGCTGTCCACAATAATTTTGTTGACACATAGATGGCTCCACAAGTGATCAGACACCAAGGACTTTATTAGAGGGCCTTTTGTGACCTCACCTGATTTCCACATTCCTAAATATTTTTGTATTTCTTTTCCTTTTTACTGACATTATGATTGATATAATGTTATTCAAATACTAATAGCAGTAACCAAAAAACTCCAGAAATCAAGGAAAAAAAAAGGAAGTGAGATAACTAGGACTAGTAATGGACTCCCAGGTGATTAACCCTATCCTGCCAAGAACATGTAATGTTTACTGTAGTTTTTTGTGAAATGAGATTACACATATATGGCTCTGCAAGTGCTTAGCCAGCAAGGAGTTGATAGACCTCGTACCTCACCTGATTTCCTATGTGCATGATTTCTCTGTGGAAGATTTTGATTTACTAATGCTGTTATTATTGTTATTTATACTACATTATAATCATTATGATATTATGAATATTACTAATAACAATATATACATTGAAATAGATTATTTTTAAAAATCAAGGAAAATGATAATAGGATGAAATAGGTAGTACCAGTAATTGACTCCTTGTGGTGAAAAATTGTGCCGAATGTTGTGTGACCTGAGTGATTCTGGGAAGGTGATTAGACTCAGTGAATACTTAAGAAGGGGCTCTTTAATTATTTCTACCATTAAACAAGTATGGAGTGTGCCATCTGTGATCCATGTAGTAGAAGAGTACCAGCTTTATAAAGGACACTTTTTCCATTCTTAGTATCGTATTCCTGCATGACAGGCAGCACATGGCATATTACAGAAAATTGAATGTTAGGAAAACATTTGAAAACCATCTATTACCATCTTGATACAGAATATCAAATGACAAATATGGACAATGGCAAAAAGCAAATAAAAGTGCTTATGTAGAAAGAGATAATAACAATGCAATGGGGATTCTTGACATCTTGCATGGGTGATTGTGTGGTCTGGGCCTACAGACCACACACCTGTGAAAGTCACCCTCAAGTAGATCTAATACCTGGATTTTGGGTCATATGTGGGCAAGTGAGGCACCCGTATCCAGCGAGTTAAACTAAACTCCGAGTGGGTATGCCATGTATGTACATGCTGTCCCCAGCAGCAATGGTTTATACCTATGTGGAGCCAATTATAAGTATGATAAAGTAAAATTAAAGTGGACAAGGCATGTAAGGATGTGCCCTCCCTGACAGCATTAGGTTAAGATAAGAATAAAGCAAGGATAAACTTGCACACATTTTATATGAATAAACAGCATACAAGAGACATAAGAGTGGACTTACTATGAAGCTAATTTCTTGGTTTGTATTTTTTAGATGGGATATTTTCTTTTTTCTGAATTATCAAGAAAGATTGCTGTATATCTGATCTTTCTAATGAATTGTTGATTACAGTCCATAGCAAAATAGCAAAATAGATTAAAGGATTTTGATGTGAGAGAAGGGCACTTGAAATGGGTATCAGTGTATGTATTCTATTCTTCTTCTTCTACCTCCTTCTCCTCCTCCTTCTCCTCCTCCTTCTTCTCCTCCTCCTCCTTCTTCTTCTTCTTCTCCTTCTCCTTCTCCTTCTCCTTCTCCTTCTCCTTCTCCTTCTTCTTCTTCTTCTTCTTCTACTTCTCCTTCTTCTTCTTCTTCTTCTCCTCCTTCTCCTCCTCCTCCTCCTCCTCCTCCTCCTCCACCCATCCTCCTCCTCCTCCTCCTCCTCCTCCTCCTCCTCCTCCTCCTCCTCCTCCTCCTCCTCCTCCTCCTCCTCCTCCTCCTCCTCCTCCTCTTCCTCCTCTTCCTCCTCTTCCTCCTCTTCCTCCTCTTCCTCCTCTTCCTCCTCTTTCTTCTCCTCCTCCTCCTCCTCCTCCTCCTCCTCCTCCTCCTCCTCCTCCTCCTCCTCCTCCTCCTCCTCCTCCTCCTCCTCCTCCTCCTCCTCCTCCTCTTTCTCCTCCTCCTCCTCCTCCTTCTCCTCCTCCTCCTTCTCCTCCTCCACCTCCACCCCTCCTCCACCTCCACCCCTCCTCCTCCTCCTCCTCCTCCTCCTCCTCCTCCTCCTCCTCCTCCTCCTCCTCCTCCTCCTCCTCCTCCTCCTCCTCCTCCTCCTCTTCCTCCTCCTCCTCCTGATTGTTATGGTGTCATTTCGCAGTAGTAGAAGCAGTGGTATTTACTGTTCTTGAACTTTTACAGGTGAACAAGGAATTCTTCAGGTCCCTGAAAGGCATCTTGCGGATATTAGTGCCGGGCGTATGGAGTCCAGAGTCGGGCTACCTTATCTTGGTAGCTTTCTCACTTATTGTGCGGAGCATGTGTGACATTTGGATGATTCACAATGGAACACTTATTGAAAGGTTAGTGTTTTGGTCAGATTTATTTATTTATTTATTTATTTAGTTTTATGATTGATTTGTTTATTTTTATTTTTTATTTATTCATTTTTTTGCCATCATCATTTACATGAAATATCTAACAGTTTCCTTTTAATCTACTTGTGTAACTGGAACCTGGCCATGGTTTAAGTTGGTGGGTGATGACTTAAGTGCAGTATTGTTTGGAATGTTTGATATCATAATAAAGTGCATTTATTTAGCATAGTTAAAGTTTTTAAATCTTGATTCTTTTTCTTTCTTGTCATCTTTCTCAAATACCAAATTTCTCACATTTTGGTTTATGCAACACTAGATGAAAGAGTCCTGAAAAAAGTCATAGCACTTTACTTATGTCAACAAATAAATGTTCATGTGTCCAGGACTATTAACCCAGTGACTGCAGATTTATGTACTGTCCCCTGTAGTCTTTGTGAATTTTGTTACATACAGATGGCTCCACATGTGCTCAGCCAGCAAGGAGTCTATCAGTAGGCCCGAGTGAATTCTCCTGATTTCCCCATTCCTTGAAATTGCATGAGTATGTTATTATTCTTATTGATATTATGATTATTAAATTGATATTAAAATCTGGGTAACATTAAATACAACAAAATAATGCTAAAGAAACTTTCCAAAAATCAAGGAAAAGGATAAACAGATGGGACTAATAACAGACTTCTTTGTGACTAAGCACTTGTAGAGCCATCTATGTGTAAAGACAATAAGTGAACTTGTATTGCAGTGGGCATGGCATTTATTTTTGCCATCCGTAGGTTAAGAAAATATTATTACCAATCGTGTTCAGTAATCTTGGGAAGCCGTAAATTTGCAACAATTCAGTCAGCATGATAACAATAAAATAAATAATAAATGTAAATGAAATAGACTAAACAATTAAGAAAATTGTACTTCGTCTATTGAATAGATGAACTACAATTTTCTTAATTGTTTAGTCTATTTCATTTACATTTATTATTTATTTTATTGTTATCATGTTATCATGTTAACAATACTGTTTCCATCATTATTGCTATCATTATTGTTGTTTTGTTATTATTATTATTATTATTTATATTATTAATATTATTATTATTATTATTTTTTTTTATTGTTATTTTTTATTATTGTTATTAATATTAATATAAATATTAATATTAATATTAATATCAATATAAATATTTTGGTCATTATTGTTTTTGTTGTTATTATTATTCAATATTATTACTATTGTTATTATTCATTATATTAATATTATTTTTGTTGTTGTTATTATTATTATTATTATTATTATTATTATTATTATTATTATTATTATTATTATTATTACTGTTATTGTTATTGCTATAGTTATTGGTGTTATTGTTATTATTATTATTGTTGTTATTATTCTTTATGATGTTGATAATGGTAATTGTAGTAGTAAGGATATAGAATGATAATGATAGTGATGAAGAAGATGAGCATCATTTGAGGTTTGATTTGATTTTGGTGGCATTTAATTTATTGGGTTACCAGCAATAAATTGTACTTGGTTGTAGTTCTTGGTGATGTTACTAGAGTTGTAGTATTTAAAGCTTTCTCTAAATCATTTTCTTATATAAGAGGGTTTGCCCACTAGTAGAATGCCTTTTCTCAAGATATCCATGTAAAATGTGTTGATTGAATGTATCAGAATAATGAAATTATAGTTATTAGGCTTAAGAGCTGTTATTTATAAATAATTATTCATCAAGAGCTATATTTCTGAGTTCTGAGAGAGATATTTATTTCATAATGTGATATAATTATGTTTTTTTTCAGACATCTTTAGACGTGAAATTTTCATGAGCATTGCGAAAGAGTATTTTGATCTGTTAACCCTTGGCTCTGGGTGATGTGACCATCATGCCATGTATAGAATTTGTCTGAGGGCAGAGTGAGGCAAACATGCCATTATGGTTGTGGGAATGACTCACCACAAGTGCACACAGCTTTTGGACAGTGATTGGACTTGCTGGGCATTTAGGAAGGGGCTCTTATATTCATACAGCATAACAAATGACAGATATAAACTTTGGAAAATGGCAAAAAAAAAGAAAAAAAATGTTTGAAAGAGATAACATTGGAAAGAGGAGGTGATGATGCGATGATGCAGCTCATGAGTGTTTGTGTACACCCAAGCCACACAACTGGGAGAGTTGCTCCTCAAGTAGGCCTAGTGCGTGGATTTTGGGCCACGTGCAGGCGGCAGAGGACCCAGATCCAGTGGATTAATCATGTTTCCTACTCTTAAATGACACTGGATTTTGATAGTGTTTTCTCTTTCACAGTTCAATCATCTCAAAGGACTTGAACCGGTTTTTAAGGTTCTTGGTAGAACTTATGCTTGCTATGCCTGCAGTGAGTATATCGGTTTCTTGTATCTTTATTTTGTATCTATCTTGAGAAAGTAGTATTATTTTAAGACTTGTACTTACGGTCTTCCAGAGTTTGTATGTAGTAGAAGTACTGTACAGTAAATCTTGTAGCATGGTCATTACATGGTTTAGAAAATGGTTACTGGAATTTAGGAGTTACCTGTAGAACAGTTAACTCACTGTTTTATCAGAAAGGTAGATTGATATATGAATTTTCTTTTGATTTCATGTGTAGGTAATTCCAAAAGTTGCCTTTTGAGTAGTTAATTATCTGTATTTGACAAATTTGGTGGTTTTAGTTGCACGAAGAGGAGCAGGATTGTTTATTTCACACTGAAAAGTTACTAATAATTTATGAAGGACAATGAAACATAATTGAATAAGATAAGTAACTGTCTTTAAAATTTGAAGGGAGTTGTTCTTCTATTTTGGTTGGAATGTATTTAGCAAGTTAAAGTAAAAAAACTTACTATGTTTATGTGGCTAAGCTACAGGATAACCCTCACCCTCATTTTCTTTTCTTTTAGTATTGCTTCTTCCTTAATTTCCTCCTTACATTGTTACTCTGTTTCATCCTCCACATTTTCTTTTTTCTTTTTTTCCTTGTTTGAGTTTTACATTTGCCCCTTATTTTCATCTTCCTCATCTTCAATTTTTCCATATTCTTTTTTGAGCCGTTAACCAGTTATTGATTATGCCTCATTTCAGATTTCCTTGGTGAACAATGTCCTGAAATTTGGCCTGAACGAATTGAAGCTGCGGTTCAGAACACGATTGTCAAACCATCTTTATGAACATTACCTCAAGTAAGATGTTTGTGCTTTTGTGTGTTATTAGTTTATGGATATATGAATATGTTTATTTATATATAGTTGCTATATCATTGATGACTGATGGAGTGTTTATGTGAATGAATATATATATAGGTTTATTTTTCTTGTTAATTTATTTTTATATGTATTCATACCTGGATATTATACATTATATGTAAATACAAAGACCATTATAATTTGTTTATATCTGTATTTATTTCTCCTTTCCATTGGAAAACATTTTCCTCTGAAAGCTCAAAGAAACCACTCCAATTTCCTCCTAATTGCAGAGGCTTCACCTACTACAAGATGAACAACTTGGACAGCCGAATCAGCAATGCCGACCAGCTCCTGACGCAGGACGTGGAGAAGTTCTGTGACTCTGTGGTGGAACTCTACTCTAACATCAGCAAACCCATCCTCGACATCCTCATCTACGTTCAGAAGTTGACGCAGGCTATTGGCGGGCAGGTAAGGAAGGAGTCGCTTCTCGTCGTGGGCTAGGGCTGTCAGGTGCCAGGGAGAACTTTGATGTTAGGAGAAAAATGGATGGATGGATGGGTGGGTGGGTGGATGGGTTTGATGGACGGATGGATGGATTAGTGGGTGGGTGAGTTTGGGTGGGTGGGTGGATGGATGGATGGATGGATGGAGGGAGGGAGGGAGGGAGGGAGGGTGGGAGGGAGGGGGGAGATAGATGGATGGATGGATGGATGGATGGATGGGTGGATGGATGGGTGGATAGATGGGTGGATGGGTGGATAGATGGGTGGATGGATGGATGCATGGATGAGTAGATGGATAGATAGATGGGTGGATGGGTGGATGGATGGATGGATGGATGGATGGATGGATGGATGGATGGATGGATGGATGGATGGATGGATGGATGGATGGATGGATGGATGGATGGATGGATGGATGGATGGATGGATGGATGGATGGATGGATGGATGGATGGATGGATGGATGGATGGATGGATGGATGGATGGATGGATGGATGGATGGATGGATGGATGGATGGATGGATGGATGGATGGATGGATGGATGGATGGATGGATGGATGGATGGATGGATGGATGGATGGATGGATGGATGGATGGATGGATGGATGGATGGATGGATGGATGGATGGATGGATGGATGGATGGATGGATGGATGGATGGATGGATGGATGGATGGATGGATGGATGGATGGATGGATGGATGGATGGATGGATGGATGGATGGATGGATGGATGGATGGATGGATGGATGGATGGATGGATGGATGGATGGATGGATGGATGGATGGATGGATGGATGGATGGATGGATGGATGGATGGATGGATGGATGGATGGATGGATGGATGGATGGATGGATGGATGGATGGATGGATGGATGGATGGATGGATGGATGGATGGATGGATGGATGGATGGATGGATGGATGGATGGATGGATGGATGGATGGATGGATGGATGGATGGATGGATGGATGGATGGATGGATGGATGGATGGATGGATGGATGGATGGATGGATGGATGGATGGATGGATGGATGGATGGATGGATGGATGGATGGATGGATGGATGGATGGATGGATGGATGGATGGATGGATGGATGGATGGATGGATGGATGGATGGATGGATGGATGGATGGATGGATGGATGGATGGATGGATGGATGGATGGATGGATGGATGGATGGATGGATGGATGGATGGATGGATGGATGGATGGATGGATGGATGGATGGATGGATGGATGGATGGATGGATGGATGGATGGATGGATGGATGGATGGATGGATGGATGGATGGATGGATGGATGGATGGATGGATGGATGGATGGATGGATGGATGGATGGATGGATGGATGGATGGATGGATGGATGGATGGATGGATGGATGGATGGATGGATGGATGGATGGATGGATGGATGGATGGATGGATGGATGGATGGATGGATGGATGGATGGATGGATGGATGGATGGATGGATGGATGGATGGATGGATGGATGGATGGATGGATGGATGGATGGATGGATGGATGGATGGATGGATGGATGGATGGATGGATGGATGGATGGATGGATGGATGGATGGATGGATGGATGGATGGATGGATGGATGGATGGATGGATGGATGGATGGATGGATGGATGGATGGATGGATGGATGGATGGATGGATGGATGGATGGATGGATGGATGGATGGATGGATGGATGGATGGATGGATGGATGGATGGATGGATGGATGGATGGATGGATGGATGGATGGATGGATGGATGGATGGATGGATGGATGGATGGATGGATGGATGGATGGATGGATGGATGGATGGATGGATGGATGGATGGATGGATGGATGGATGGATGGATGGATGGATGGATGGATGGATGGATGGATGGATGGATGGATGGATGGATGGATGGATGGATGGATGGATGGATGGATGGATGGATGGATGGATGGATGGATGGATGGATGGATGGATGGATGGATGGATGGATGGATGGATGGATGGATGGATGGATGGATGGATGGATGGATGGATGGATGGATGGATGGATGGATGGATGGATGGATGGATGGATGGATGGATGGATGGATGGATGGATGGATGGATGGATGGATGGATGGATGGATGGATGGATGGATGGATGGATGGATGGATGGATGGATGGATGGATGGATGGATGGATGGATGGATGGATGGATGGATGGATGGATGGATGGATGGATGGATGGATGGATGGATGGATGGATGGATGGATGGATGGATGGATGGATGGATGGATGGATGGCGTTCACAAGGGAATCACCGCGAGAAGAAGAACATCGACTCCTCCTTCAATCGCCTGGTAGGAGAGACTCGATGTGACTGTAATGCTTTTTCTTGAATGTGGGTTTTGTTCGTGAAAATTTGTGTGAACAGAAGGGAATTTATAGAAGCAAATTTTACCTAGTTTACTTTACCTATAGATGAAAAGGTAATTTGAAATATTTTTATATATTTTTGCAACTTATAGGTTGTGAATAACTGGAAAGGAAATTGGAGTGAACATTAAGATTGTTTTAATCTTTTCTGTCATCACTCTTATTGTTTATATTGATACCATTACTTTAATTTCAGGTGAATCATCTTCGATCATTTATTTCATTTAGATTCAACATGGGATTCATTGACAACATCATTGCAAAATGTAAGTATCTTAAATTAAAGAAATTGGTGTAAGGTTTGAAACACACATGCACATGTGTGTGCCCACACCAAAAGCCACATTCACTTGCACATTAATATGCATACACACACATGTGCAGACATATACACATGTTTACATACTTACACATGCATACACATGTGCACACACATATGCATATACTTGTGCCCACACATATGCATACACTTGTGCACACACATATGCATACACTTGTGCACACATATGCATACACTTGTGCACACATTTGCATACACTTGTGCACACATATGCATACACTTGTGCACACATATGCATACAC